CAGTGGAATGCCCTCTGTTCGCGCAGACAACAGGATTTCTCTGTACCTTATACCGATCTTGTCAACTTTATAGAGTGGTAGCTCGCAGGAAAAAAGAAAAAGAGAAAGAGTACGAAATAAAAAGCAAAAAGAAGCTAAAGACAGCGATCGAAAGAAAGGGACGGAAAAATAGAAACTACGAAGGTTGAAAGTAATGATGGTGAATTAGGTGAAAAATCGAAAAGATCGAGTGATAACGATTACAAGTACTAGTAAACTGCTAAATGTCATCTTTCCGCGCAGACGTGCGAAAAGATGGTAGTAAATTGAATTTCCTCTAGGAGAAAAGAAAAAAGAGATGAGAAAAAATAATAAAAAAAGAGAAAAGACAGGCTACAGAAAAGTCTACATTTATTCTTCTGATGTGCAAGTACGAATTCTTAGTACAAGAATAAATATACATAGACAATAATTATAAATAAATTATATAAAATATAATTGTGTGTAAAATATATAAAGAAAAAGTATTTAAATAAAATAAGAAAGAATAAAATAGAAGGATTGCATGCAGAGAAAAATAATGAGAAATTGAGAAAACTAATATCACGAAAATGCGAGAGGAGAGAAAGATGCAAAGGTGGATGACTCGAAGATATATTTTGAGGAGGCCGCAGCCTGCGGCCAACGCGTGGGTTAAGGTGAGCGCCTTAACATTCTTGTCTATTTGTCGAATAAAATACAGAGAACCTAGCAACCGCATAAAACGTACATTATTCTCAACTTTTTCTCCCTCACGGATTCGGTGTCGAGCACCCGGGGAGCGCTAGGCAAATTTATCCCTATCAACCGCAGACGTACGTTCACCCGGAAGACGAAAGCCTTCCTCGCTTTTCCTGCGCATTTTACCTACACGATGGGACGACTGAGTTTTCGGTAGAACGTAGAAGTGATCATTTCGCGGAAAACATGATGTTATCGTTAAAAAAAACTTTTCCACATATCATTTAGCTTTAAATTTCGAATTAACATATATTTTTGAAATTTGAGACATGCAACAGTATTGAAATCTATTGTGAAATATGTTCGATTCAATCATAACTTTTATAAATCACTATTGACTATATAATAAAATTTTTTTAATTATACATTTTTAATTTTGTTCTATTAAAAATATATTCACATTATCTATTATATTGCTATTTATTCTTTCTATCATATGTTTTAATAGTCTTTATCCATTTAATGTTATGCATTTTGAATTAGCCACACTAATTTGCAAAATTTTAATGAGCCTGCCAATATATTTCACAATGTTAGTTCTGCAGAAATACGTAATTTTAAATCGATCAAGAACGTGGAGAATGCGTTACATTCATAATTGAATAATAAACACAAAAATATCGGAATATGACTGAAATTTCCATGTCACAAACTAAATTTGTATATTTTCTCTCATCGTGGCTTTATGTTACAGGCGACGTGCGGTATGCGTTACGTAGTTAAAGCTAAGTCCGATAACCGGAGAGAGACATGATAACCATAAACACATGCCGCATGCATTATGAAATTATTGTCAAAAGGCGTTACATCGACACTACAACCGCCATTAAATTTATCGCAAATTTTCTGATATTCAATAGAGCTTTTAAAAGCCGGTGCAAATATGTATATATACTATTCAACAAATATTCTGGCATTATTAGAACAACACAAATTAAATACACATCATTAATTATTATTTGTTATTTAACTGCGGATCTCTTTTCCTAATTATATAAATTATAATTAAATCATTAACATCCTTCGAATGAACAGATCGAATGTTGCCGAATTTATAATGAATGGATATGTATAATATACAAATGACAAAAATTAAATATAAAATTTTAATTAAACTAAAAATCTAAGGTTGCTTGCTCTCTTTACGAGCTCGTATATATTGGATGGATATATATATATATATATTGCACAATTCTCGCATATATTAACATAACCGAATAAACAACTGCGATATGTATCTTTCATAGATATCTCGCGATTCGCAGAGAACACGGTATGGCACGGCATAGTGTGCAAAACAAAATATATAAAGAAACACAAGCACCATTGCATTTCAATGAAAGCTTACTTTGGCCGCATTGGCGTGCTGGACGCGCGCTTCCGGATTGGAACACCCGAGTTGATTTATTTTTCTCGACTTCGCTAGGATAGACGTTAAGTGTACTCAACGTCTTATCGTGCACCGCGGTTTTCGGTGCTATATTTCATGCAGCAGGCAACTTTTAGCGTTCTTCTTTCGTATTTACTCGACCGGTTTGCGAAAGGCACAATAGAGAAGATATATCTGAAGATTTATAAAGTCGGTACAGTTCATTGAAATACGTGAAATAACTCGGAGTGCCGAGAAGTAAACGAAAGTAATTGCTTACGTTTCAAGAATTTATTTTGGAAGCAGTCAAAATCCACTTTTCGATATTACATCAACGATAGCGTTTATTTATGAATTCATTATATGCGAATTAAGCTTATAAATACATTTGATCGTAAGTAAATATTAAATGAATCTTGCTAAAAAATCTTTGTCACTTTTATCGCTTTCATAAGAGTTTGTATTTTTTCAGATGCAGAGAAGAAATTAAAAAGTCCGTCTTTATGTCTCTTCGTCTATTCTACTTCTTAGTTTGAAAAGGGAATCTTTCGCAAGATTTATATTAAAATGATGAATCTTACGCGAATAAGGTAAATAATCTCCAGCTCCATTAACATTTACAAGTGTCACGCTAAGCACAAAGCTGCGAATATACACCGTCGGTAAAGATCGCTGTCAGTGCAAAATTTTCGCGCGGGCACCGAAAAATAAACATCGCTCTGAAGCGGAGTAACCAGGCGACGTACAGAGAAGAATGCAGAAAAACGCATACGTAGAGAAGAGTCTGCCAACACTCATACACACTCCACAACACTTATACACATCGCGCCTGGAGCGGACGTGTCATTTCATGAGAGATAACAGTTGACCGTGTTCTTTTCGTTCTCTACACGGTGGTTGGATATTAAAAACAGGAAGAGTGCGGAGCAAGACTGTATAAAGCAAAGGTTTATTTAGTCGAGCTTTCGAACGATACCAAAGAGCAGCTCGTTTCGCGCAACAACTGGCGATTACTTTGCCTCGCGATATGCGCCGCGAAAACGTGCGGAGACAAATGTAGCCGATAAAACGAGCGAACGTTTCTGTCTGGCAAAAAAGAGAGAAAAGAAGACGTAAAACGGAAACTTTTAGGGTAAATGCATATTCATATGGCGATGCGACCGGCGGATCCAAGTGGCACGAATTAATATGCATAAATCCTGCTATTACTGTCGACTCAAGCAGCTTAGAACGTCTCGTCTCGCAATTTATTCGTGGCCCGAACCACTTGCCGAAGATTCTTAAGAATAGTGACACTATCTACTATAGTGTTTAAACTTGGAAATAGCTAGGATAAAGAAATGCAATAAAAGTTTCGCCTGTGCGAACGCTACGCGACACATATTTCTTTATGTTGCATAATGCTAAATAATATTAATCGATCTTTACTAATGTTATTATACAAATAAATACAAAATCAAAAATTTTTAAAATTAATCTAATAATAAAAAATTGAATTCTAAATGGAATTCGAGAATTTGATAAAGGATCAAATCCACATTCAAAAGGGGATGTTTTTTCTCGATTTTTAAAAGATTTAATTGAAATTAAGAAATTTAATAATATAATTAGAAGAGTTTAAATAATAAATATAAAAAAGATAAAAAAAAAAAGTTCAAATTATTTATATTAATTTTAAATTAAATTTTCTAATTAGAAATTAAAGGTAATAAATTTTATACTATATAAATTTATTATACAAATATTATACAAAATAAATAAATTAAATACTACTATAAAAAAACCAATGAGACATGAGAAAGAAACAGTTTTAAATGTCTAAAACGCGAACAAACGTAGATAAAAAACTTTTTTATCTTTTTATATAATATCAAAATAAAATTATATTCTCTGCGTATTGGTGTATTTTCGTATAATCAAAAATTTTAAAATTTACCAAATTCTAAAATAATATTTTCAATCGAATACGATCATAGGTTTTAGAAAAAAATTATATAAAATTTAAAAATAGAAAACATTAAGAATAGTAAAACTGCGTTTCCGACTACATATGTTACAGAAAAATTTTTCTCTCGTATATTATCGCTTCTGTAATGTATCCGGCACATTCCTAAAAAACTTCATCAGTCAGAATTTTGTGAGAATTTAATTATTTGCGCGAAATTGAAAGGCTTTATGCAAGGTAGGATCATGTTTGCCAAAAAATTCATGTACATTTTGCTTTTTCAGGAAAAAAGGGCATAAAACTGCATTATTAAAAAAATATGTTATTTTTTATAATCGTCAAGATAAAATCTAAAAATTCTCTTCATAATATTTTATACTAAAAAAATATTATGATATATAAAATTTACAAATAGCACAATATTTTAGCCATTAAAAAGGTTTAAATAGTATTCGAGTTTGTAATATTGATCGCACAATATATCAATAAAGCAATCTATTAATATTTCATACAGAAAATTGTATATTCGATATTTCTGATAGATAAATCTTCAACAGTTTTAAATCTTCCAATAGCTTTACAAATTTATCAAATATCTTATTTAACATGTACATGACATGCTCTTTAAATTCTTTTTCCAATAATATAACACGGCTATATAGTCCACAAATGAAGCATTCATAAATTTATAAATACAGTAACCATAATGATAATATTTATACTTCTAACAATAATATTTATGTATATAACATTCATCATATTATTTAATATTTATTAATATATAGATAAGCGAGTATACATATAGGGTGAAAAATAAACAGCGCAAAATTTTCCAAGATTCGCGCGGGCGAACTTTAATTCTTCACGTCAATAGAAAATCCGACTTCAAAGGATTAAGCGTTGAGAAAGGGATTGGAAGGTACTTACCGAGCACGACCAGCTTCACCGGTCTGCCAAAGAGGATCTTCCCCTGGTCGTCCTCTAACGTGCAGCTCCACACACCGTCGTCCTCTAATCTGACATTGTCTATGTGCAACGCCGCGGTCGTGGAATCGCCGATGTATCGGTGCCCGGTTCCGCTCATTTCTGTTCTCGTATCTATCGTAATCATGTCTACCGGGTTACCCTCGTGCAGCCACGTTGCCGGTCGTATTCTGTAACTTCTGACAAGAGGCGCAACGTTCGCATTACTCCAGTTCGTGCAACAAACTTCGTCGCAGCCGATCTTCGGGCAACGAAGGGACTTGAACTACTATCGCGGCGCGAGACTTTGTTTCCATAGAGGGAATAATTTCGCTGTGATGTTATTCGACACGGAAGTTACTATTACCAAACTGAAACCGGATATTAAGATATACACAAAGGATCATTGTTTAACATATACACATGCATATATGACGAAGATAACGCGATAGAAACGTAATTTAGAAATTATTTATTTATTATTTCGAAAAAAAGAATCATATAATTTACATTATCTCGCGCATTTTTATTTCCATTCAAATCGAACGTTTCTTCGAAATTTGAATATACGTCGATAATAAATCGTTTGAAAATTGATTAACGTCGGTGTGAATAATATTCTCGATGAAATATAGACTGGCACGTTACCTGGCACCTGGCAGCAATAATCTCGAGTAATTTCCTTCCAGTTCGCAGGGCAAAATGACTTTACTATGAGGCTTCACCACGAGCTCCAGAGGCGGATTGGACGACGTGTCGGCCATGTCTGAGGATAGCGGAACATTGGTCGTGGTGGAGGAACTAGTAGACCATGACTCCTCCTCGGGGGCCAAAAGAGCAGCGGGCTGCGCCACTTCGTCGGCCAGGGATATCAATGTCGAGCTGGGTGTCGTGCTCGTTGTGCTAGTGGTGGTCTTTCTAGCGCGCCGGCTACCCTCCTGCCTACCTCGTAACGCAAAAACGCCAGCCTCGTTCACGGAACCTGTAACAACGCGGTATAATGACGTCAGTCTTTCTACCATTAAAGACAGTTACCGTGATTTCGTTTAGTGTCTCGCGCCGTTTACAGCGCCTGCTTTTAATCGTGTTTTCGTTATTATCAAGTTTTTATCAGTGTCCTGATTTTTAAATATTTCATGATAATCCGTCTCTCACAAGAAATCGCGTTAATCACCAGAGTTCAACTAATATAGGTTCTTACCGCCATATATCGCTTTTACACGCTGGACCGCGATTAATTAACTAAACGGACAAGGAAATTAATTAGAGCATAATGTACTTGTGCACGTCGAGTTATATAATTAAATAGTAGTAATTATATACGAACCCTTCACAAAGTTTAGCGCTCTTTCTAAAGAGAGAAATGTTCTTCGAAGCTTAGTAAAGTACATGTAGAAGCTGCGTCAAAATGAACGCAATGTATTATCTTCCGCACTGCGCAAATTCTCCATCTTTAGCCGCCGATGGAGGGAGACGCGTTACATCCGCTCGAATTCAAAGGGCGGCTAAATTTTCTGGCCTCCTTTTATGGCGCGGAACAACAGACGAAATTAGTCGTCCGCCTCTTCTTCGTGCCCCTGCCACGCTTTATCGAGAGGTAAATATTCTGAAGGCTGGAGCTTGATCGAGTTAGCGCAGCCTTGGGAATTCGATAAAGCCACGACAAGAACGTCGTTGCGAAGGGCATTTTCCAGTCTGCGCGAGCAGGCACTCCCTCTCAACCCCCCTTTCACCCCTTTCCGCACGCTCGGTCGCCCTCAGCTGAAACTGCCTGCCTATCGAGCTTGGTCGACCGAGACTTCACGAGGAAAACTAATTATGGTCTCGATGAGCCGCAAATAGCTGCAACTACCTAACCTAACGTAGCTAAGAGCTCTCTTTCCGCCCCTGCTTTCTCATCTTGTAGCCGCGAGTTCCGCAATCCCTCTGTAGCCAACCAACAGTTGAGGGTGACCGACAGCCCAACTTGTTTGCATGCCATGAACTACGTTCTACGGCTGATTCATTAACGTTCTCTTTTGGCTAACGGTATAAAAGCATATACATTCTTTCGTTCTTTCAAACCTCTTTCTTAACACCAGAATAATGAGTTTCTTTACAGGAGAAATCTATTGTACTCGCACAACTTAATGACTGTAATCTTATAATTTTTAATCTTTCAATTTTGCGGAGAAAATTTCATTTTTCTTTTTTTCTTTTCAACTGTTGTTGATATTAATCGTAATCTCTTTAGAAATATAAGATGTAAGGAAAGCAATGAAACACATCAAAATCAAAATAATTTAAAAGTTAGAGAAGAAAAGATATTAGTAATCGCGTGTTATATAAAAGTTATATTAGTGCGCAATGTGCGTTACAAATTTTAGCTTTTGTTATGGTTTATATAGTCGGGCAAACAATTATTAATTCCACAGATGTTGTAAACAAGCATTCTGAATAATTAAACAATTCGGTTTTATATCTCTTGTTTAATACTTGAGCAATGCTGTTTAATCAGCACGCAATATAAATATGCAAGTTAGAAGGAAGGTATTAGTAGGAAGAATATGTAAATATATTTTACATAGGTAACAGGACTCCGATTCTACTTTTACCAACCTTCGCAAAGCTTTCGCGAAGCTGCAGATTCCGCAGAAGACCGGCTGACAACCGAAGTTCTTCCTATTTCTCGAGAACTATTAAATTGAAGTTCTTCGGAACTACGAAGAGGCATACAAGCCTAGTAAAACTTTGCGAAACAGCGTTATAACGAAAGAATGCACAAACATTCTTATAATATATGTTATTTTTCTCGCAATTAAACGATATCGTTAATTTATTAATTCATTACCATGACAATTATCATTCAATTCATGATAAAATTCTGTATTTTATTAGTAAATGTAAAAAACTGAAATGAGAGAAAAATGAAAAGACGATTAAATTTTAATAATTGCAATATAGCAACATAACAAACAATTTTATAAACTTGATTTCAAACACAATTTAATATCAAAAACAAGTTTATTATTATATTATTTTATTATGATTATTTAACTTTGATTAATAAATAATGTAAAATGTAGTAATATTAAAATAGTTTATTATTATTTTTAATTTGATAGAATAAAATTTCAATTTTAAATAAGCGATAAAATTATATAATTAAGCTATGTACTTGCAATTTATTTGGCGAGAAGAAAGAGAAAGAATTTATATAAATTCTAATTTAGTTAATCACAAACATTTTGCAGATATGCGCAGAAATTCAGCAATCAAATGATGAAAGCAGTTCGATAATCGAAATCAATGTTTGTCGGGAATGAAAATGTCGAGAAAGTTCATCATTTTTTTAAATGTTTCCAATTTTCGAAATTATGTATCTTTGTAACTAAGCCTTAAATTAAAATTCTATTAAACTTTACCTGAAATTAACTAAAAATATAGTTTTGTTAATAATTTATTTTTACAAGGCTTAGTTTACAAAAAAGCTTTTATTTTCAATCGTTTGTAACGCGAAAATTAGTGCCTGGACATTTTCGCTGAGGAAAAATTGTCTCCAAACCACCTCAGGAATCTCCCATTAATGTGGGATATGGTAGGTCTGAGGCACCCTATATAATACGATTTTAGTTTAGCGCGAAATGCAGAGAATCTCTCTAAAAAATCTATGATCCTGCGATCATGGAGCGATATCATGGCGTCGCCCAATAACGAGAATGTGGACTCCGTGTTCATCAACGTTCCCAATAGTATACCCGACTAGTTATACACCGCTATCGAGTGAATGTTGTTCGACGTTGATGCATGCATTATTCAAGCGGTGTATCCATTCATTATTCATGTCATGATCAATGGATGTCAACAGACCACGATCTGTATCTGAGCACGTCGCTATGGCAGAAAGTGAAAACGGACGCTAAGCGAAATATACGAACCAGGTTCAAAGGAACAACGTTGCGAGAGTAACGTGAACATAACGAATTTACGGCATCGCGTGTATGTGTATATATATTTTGGCGACGCAACGTAATAAACTCTTGGTTTATAATAGAATTGACACGTGTTCAGGAAACTCGTTATCGCGGCGTAATTATATCGCTCGAAAATTAATTGTTGCTTTAGAAATAGACATTAATATACATATATTTATGTATAAGTAAATCATTTGTCTAAAGTTCTCTTGACCCAGATCTATATTCAGAATTATTAACATTTAAAAAACGACGTATATTTTTCATACACTCGAAAGATTCTTTTCAATACACGACTAACGTTTTTAATAGAATTCAGCTTAATAATTACTAGAGAGAGAGAGAGAGAGACGAATTGAATCGCGCTTTTCTTCGCACAATGCATGCGATTCGCAACAATGCAAGATGGTAAAGCGGTTAAGAGGATTTGTCACCTCGTGTGTCACCGGATAAACTCCTTTTCCCTTATACGTGAAGTTCTCTTCGCTGCGAAATTTCCTTCCACAATCGCCGTCAACGTACCTTCGTCACTCTCTGCGTGCGTCGCGCATCAAAGGTGAAAAAACATAGCGCGAGAGTTCGCCATAGGAATTCCGATAATTTGGAAAGAGGAGCAAGTAAACTCCAAGCGCGAAGAAGCATCGCTTTCTCTCGGAATTCCGGAAGCGCTAGATTTGTCGAACATTTCGAAGAAGAGGAGAGCTTTGCAATTTCATTGCCGCGAAATACTTAAGCATCGCATGAGCCAAGTTTTCGCAAAAGTTGCACTTTACACTTCGACTGTCATCTATTTTACCTTATCACCGCTAATTTTCTACTTTCTCGGCTCGGCTCGGTTGCAATTAGAATTTTAAACGGTCTTTCTCTCTCGAGCGAATACTTCGAGCGCGAATGTTCTTTTTCTTTTTCTCAGTTTTTTTTTTTTTTCGAACAAGTGCCGTTATGACCCTATAAAAGAGCACGTGCATAGAAGTTTTTAATCCCCGTATCTTACGCTATACGATCCAATATAGAGCATAAAATAATATTCGCGTATATTTGAAATGCGATTTACAGATATATGTAATATGTAATAGCTACAATTTATCCGTAATATTCAACCTTCCCCAATTTGTGTAATACAGTAATACAGTCGATGAAAAAAAAAAAAACATTAATAATAAATTAATCCGCCCGATTGCTCGTGTAATTTTGTAATTAGGTCAACGGAGAATCCCAATCATGCGTTTCGTTACAATATCAGAATGTAAACGGAAGGAAAATTAATGCAAACACATATGTAACTATAAAGTGCTCGGCAGCAGTGAACGAAAAATGAAATGTATCCACAAATTCAAATCGCAAAAAAAAGTTCTTTCGTAATATTTTATTAAGCGCCTTTCGCCGTATTCCCTATTTCCCCAAGTTTGTTCAATTGTATAGTCACCTTCCTCGCGTTTCCCGGGGGAGACCTTCGGTCTCAAAACACATCAACGAAACCCATCACATCCGTCGCATTCAGATTCGTGTACGAGGGACGAGCAGTGTCCACCTTTCGCCGAAAAGTTTCAAGGGTAAGGTTTCGCATGCCGCCGAGCACGCAGAGAGCAATCATACCATACAGAGGAAAGGCGTGTACGGGTTTATATCAACTCTCTTGTCGGCGGATGCCGAGGTGACCTTGCACCGTGTATACAAAGCGGCAAAGATCAGAGGCGTTCCTGGGACACGTAGGGAGACGAGAGAGAAGGATAGCAGAAGAGAGAAATGGAACGAGCGAGAAACGGGAGGAGATTCGGGTGTATATCGTCGAGGGAATCTATCTTTCGCAGCGGAATTCGCAGCACGATCGTCTCTGACGGCTACGGAAGTGATTCTCTCGGCCAGGACTGGCCCTTCCTTCCCACCCTGTTCATCCTTGCCTCCGATTCCCACCGATTCCCTCTTCAATCCCCATCCTCGATGTCATCCCGCGCTAAGCTCTCGGTAATACTCTCTCAGCACGACGGTAGTTATAGACTGGTTGTGTCGTTCCACAATTCGCGCGCAA